ATTTAAATAAGCAAGTTAATTAGTCATATAATATGTTTACACAGATACTATTAATAGCTTATAATCCAGAAGTTTTTAGTAACATTAGGAAAAACATTACAATATTTCCAGTTTATATTGTCATCAAATTATATCTAGCCTATTCTCACAAGAATTTTATATATAAATATGATTTAAATATAAAATTTGTCAATTAATTTGAGTTCGATCTATAGCATTTTTTATTTAATTGTTCTTAATTTATTTTAATACAAAATGTGCTTAAGAATTTCTATTAGAATGTATTAGGATTTTATTAAATTTCGAACTCTGTATAAGAACTAAGTCCTTAATTATAACCTAAGAATATACATGAACGGATTTTCAAAACATTTAGATTTTCTACTGGGTCTCATTATTTTTAAATTATATAATTAGTTAAATACCTTTATTTTTTTTGTAAGCTTTTATTTTCCTAAGGACAAGAGGCTATGTAATTTTATTAGAATCTCTGATGATTTCTCAAAAGTCAAAGTAAAACTTTAGATAAAATTCAATAAATAAACTTAAACTATCAATAACCATTATCAATTATTTCATAGTTCTGTTTAGTTTTAATGTCTAATTATCAAAAATTCAAATTAATCATGGCTAAAAAAAGAATTTTCTTGCAAAATATTATTAATATGAAGATAAAATTTGAATTTCAAAAGTGGTTTATTAAGGGGATAAAAAATTGATTATTGATATTTAGTGTTTTTGGTTAATAGATAAATAAAGGTATATTTGAGTTTTCATTTTATTATTGAATCTATAGGTTAGCCAACCAAAAGCAACATATTATATTTTTTATTTTTTAAATAAATAAAATTCTTTTATTAATCAAAGGATTTATCATACATTAAAACAAGAACGAAGCATAAATTAATGATTATAATTAAATGATCATCTAAAATTAATGTAATCTATCCAATCCTAAACTTCAACAGTCATCCTATACACAATAGCTAAAATTGAAGACCATTTCTTTAAATTAAATGAAGAAGTAGAATTAGTTTTATTCTTCATTTATTTTATAATCTGCTTTCACAATTATTGATGAATCAATAGATTCAATTCTACTTATTCCCTTTAATTATTAGATTCCTCCACTATAATCCTAATTTTAAATACCTTAATATTTTTAATTATCTGTATCTGATTTTAACTTCACATCATAAATCCTTGGAAGCGGGTATGCTTTTTTATTAATTAAATTATCTAGATTAAAATTCACAAAAAAATTAGAGTTAAATCTATTAGGAGATAGTAATGGTATGAAAAATAAAATTTTGAATTTTGAATAAGGAACAGTTAAATTTATTAATATATTTTGAAGATAAAAAGTATATTCGATGTTTAGTATAAAGCAAATAATAAAATAACCTTATTTCTTGTTCTAATGATAATACTATCATCTGTTGGTAATAAATTAATCAAATAGAGTGGAAGTGTTCATAGCCAATCTAATAAAATAGTGGCACAGTTAATTGAAATGTAGATTTTATTAAGAATCAGCTGAATTTTCAGTACTCATTAGATAAATATAGCAATAGTGTAGAATCATTCAGTTTTAATTCATCTGAAACTTTATTAGTAGTATGTGGATATGCTGATTTTATCATATGGGAAAAAGGAGTATAAGGAAAATGGGAATTTAAAAAAACAAAAAATATAATTGATAAATTAAATTTGAATAAATTCTAATCAATAATTTAACTTATTAACATTTTAGAAAATATTGAAATTATTAAATTCATTAAATGAAATATGTAAATACACATAATATCTTATTAATATCATTTATAACGAATACAATATTTATGTATTAATATAATTATATAGTAAACTTTTAATATTTTAATTTCATTCTTTTGATTGATAACATCTAATTTATATTTCTTTTGTGATATAATCCCAGGTCAGCAAATATTGTCCATCATCGCTAAGTGTATCATAAATAAAATTATCATTATTCAATAAATTTATTCTAAGATAAGTTATTTTTCAATAATTATGTTTCCATTATATTAATTTCTACATCTTATTAAATTGACACTTTTGCCATTCTTAATCATAAGAATGCATTTTTTAATCAAAAATTTTTATATCAAAAGATTGACTGTATCCAATTATATCTATATATTTGTTTTTCAAAATTTGCCCTTCAGAATTACTAGTAATTTTATAAATATTCATTTTTTTAGATTGATCTAGGTTGAAAGGCAAAAATATCATTCCCTATAAAACATAAACGATATCCATAACTAACAACTTTTATTTCTTATAATACTATCCTTGAATATGAGTAAGAAGTTTTTAACAATTCCCTAACGAGAATGAGGTTATCAAGTTCCAATAAAATTATTTTAGTTTGATCTTCATATATAGAGAATGCATAAACATAACTGCTATTTTTCTTATAGTTTAGAAAAGACGATTATTATTTATTGTTATTTTCGCCATTTATATTGTAGCACAAAAATTTTAGAGTCTTATCGTCACTCCCAGATATTATTAGATCTTTTTCTAATTATAGATAAAGCAAAGCATAGAGAAAGTCTACCCTACTAATTATTGAGAACATATCCAAAATTTTCTCTATTCTTTTTTATATAACCATATCATTATGTCCTTTTATTATTTCTAATTAAACAAGATTATTTTAAATTAATTCCAAAACTCTAATCTCTTTTTTTCCATTCAATCAAAGCTATTGAATTTTCTTAATTAAAAGACTATGGCATAGCAACATTCAGGTTGTATTATAGAATTCTTTATGATTATTTCAAATGTAAAAAGGTTAAATTTTCATTTGAAGACTCCTAAATAGAATGATATACTCAGATTTTATCAATATTCTTTTCTAAAATTTGATGACACTCCTGACATCCTTAAAAGGAATTAAATAACTCTAGGTAAATACTTATTTGATAACTTTATAATACAGCAATTAGATGAAGCTGGGTAATTTTAATTTTGAATCTCTTCGGGTTTCTTTATTTAATAATTAAATAGATTATCAAGTTCTTTGATAATTATCTACAACTAATATTAATTATTAAAAGTTTTCAGCTCTTTCATCCAATCAGAGCTAATTTATATTATAGACTCTAATAATGAATTTATATAGGATCTCATTTCTCTATAGTTTATTCAGATTAATAATTTGAGACTAAACAAAGTCTAAATCATTTATTAAATTTTCTCTGGCTTTTACTCGCTTATATCCAAAATTTACTCATTCTAATATTTTTTTTATTTTAATCAATATTTTCCGCATATAAAGAACACAATAATCTCTTTTTCAAAAAATAAGCTTTAATCTAATAATATTGTACTTATTGGTTATTCCTGAGTGTTAAGTAGAAGAATAATCAGTTTCATAATCTAATTATTTTTGTTGCATTTTGATTTTATTTATTGATAAATAATCATTTTATTTTTGCTTCTTAATTAAGCTTATATATATATATTGGAAAAAAAAAATGGATTTTGTGGTCATTTATTTTCTATTTGGGTTGCAGTAAATTATATATATTCTAAATTGTATAAAATCCAAAATTTGTTTATAAATATGAACTATAATCGCTTACCATTATTACAATCAAAGTGTATATACATTTTAACTGAAAGCTATCTTAAAAAAACATATATATCTAAACTTTTTAGTATACTTCCATAGAAAAAGACTAATCCTATTTAATAATTCATTACTGAAACTTACATTTAGTATCAAATTATAGACAATTATTTAATAAAACATAATTTTTTATAATAGTGGGGTTTGAGAATATGTATATAGAATTTAATTGAGAGATGAAGACTTCTCTTTATAACTCTATGAAATTATCTTATCTATCAAATTTTCTTTAGAATTTTCGAAATTTATTTCTATATTGATGTTCTCAAACATTATTAAATGCCCCATTATTCATAGATAAAGGATTTATTTGAAAAATGTGCCTATCATCTATGGCGGATTAAGATTCTCCCATATAAGTAATTGTATAAATCATCTAGAAAATTCGAAGAACTTACAAATCCAAATTGAAAATTAACTTCTATATCATAATTCAATAAAAACTTAAGAATATATTTTAAATATTGAAGCTAAAATTATTAGCCTATCTGAAATGGTTAGATAATACAACACTGTTTAAATAAAATCTATTGTAAATATTATATATCATTATTAAAATGTTTATTAATTAATAATTAATAAAATTAATGTTTACTTAATTAATATATACTATTATTCTTTAATAATGTAAAATTCTCTTTATTTAATGGGTTTTCTTAAATCAATTCTGAAAAATTAAGATTTTGAATACCTATCTTTAAAATTAATAGTTAAAATTTAATAATGATAATTATAAAATAAAAATTATATTGATCATACTATTTCTAGTTTAAATAATGTTTTTTCATATTGATTAGTCAATTTTATGACTTAGGTTGCAGATAATGAAACTGAAGTCTTAGCAATTTTAATATATTGCTATTAATTTTAATCTAACAAAAACTTTGCTTATAATCGGACTGTATGAATTTTATTGATATCACATTTGATGTTAGTCTAAGAACACCATTATTCTGGACAGAGTAGTTATATCATTAACATTTCCTAATCTATACATTACCAATAGAAAATTATTGTTATAGATCCTATAGATTATGCTATCGTAATCTCCTCTGATATAATTTGATTTTAAGAGTAATTTATTTCTTTAATTTCAATGTGAGTATCTATTTAATTATTAGGATCAAAAAATGTAGATTACATTAAACCATTAAATTAAGCCAGTTCAAAAAAAGCGTGATTTATACAGAAATGATTAAATTACATTGATGTAAAAATAGTGGAACTCCCTATCATATTATTAATTGATTACAAGTATAAATTTCAACAGTAACTTAAGAGGAATATGTTGTTTTCGTGGATAATCTAAAATTAAAATCAATTCCATCATATTTAAACCCTAGAAGATTTAGATAACAATTTTATATGGTCCATCCAGTTGGAAAATTGACAACTTAAGTTGAACCAGAAGGTTAAATGCTTATTATTGTGGGGCCAATTAAAAAAATATCTGAACTACTCAATATTATTTAATATCCAAATTGTTTAAGTCCTTAAAATGAAAAACTTATTGTCACAGTTTCAGGTGTCAAAGTTAATCCCTAAATAATATATTTTTGTACCGTTAAATAATTATATTAAGATCCTAAAGCATAATAACTTAAAAAATTAGAAAGGGCCATATTAATTTAACAATTCTTTTAGTAAGCATGAGTATATTAAGTTTATGGATTAGTTATATTAAAATTATTTATGACTTAGACTCTCTCATCATTAAATGCAAACCAATTAAACTCAACTGCATAAAACTGGTTTATAGTCTCACAGACTATCTTCACTTTAAACCCTAAAAATTTAAGTTAAGTAAATTACCAGCTGTGGTGATACTAGTTATTACTAATGAATATCCTTAAGGAAATTGATACCCAATATCAAGCAAAGCAAGGTTTAAGTAAACATCTGGCACTAAGGCAAATTATTTTTAAAAAGGAATATAAAGTTCTTCGTATCTGAATTTGGTTAAACTTGTATATAAAACTAAATTGTTATTAACAAAATAGCTGAAGTGATTGACAAATCCTTTTTCAAATTTATGATCAGCTGCTATAGAAATAATATATAAATAGATTTAAAACATATCAATTAAAAATAATAAAATATAGAAATAAAAATATTTGGTCTAAAGTATTAAGAATATTTGATAAATTATTATATTGGCTATTTTAAATGATGTCTTTAACTCTTAAGAATCAAAAAGTAAGTTAAAGGTCTTGGTAATCAAATTGTTAATTAAACCTGATAGAGTACTGTAGATTTCTAGATCATTACAATGGCATAATTAAGTTTTATATTTTTTCCAACTTAAATTATATTAATTATCTAAATCCTCAAAATAATGTTATTTTTTCAAATTTTTAATTAAAAGACATATTTATTTTCTATATATGGATAAATTTAGTAATAATGAATATCTTTCCATAAATGTATATAAATATGATAAATGAATTTTTAGATATAAATTTATGATATTAAATATATAAATAAGAGTAGAATTTATTTAAAATCTTTATTATATTATATGCCGATCCTTCAGTTAAATTTTCATTCAAAATCATTGAATAAATATAGGCTTTTAATTTTTATAACCAATTATTATATGCATATATTGATATAATTTAACAATCAGTAATCATCTGTTTCAGTACGTTGATCATCATCAAATTCAGGTGGATTCTCAAAAATTGAGGCTTCTGAAAATTCTGAAAAGTCATAAGTTTAGGATGATGTTATCGATTCAAGGTCATTTATAACTCTAATTATCAATTATCTAATCCTTTCAATTTACAAATCTTAAGAGGAGGATTATGAACTATAATATGAGGTATGTGAGTGTTATGTAGAAGATTCCAATTATTCTTAAGGTGAAGATTAAATGGATTATGATAATGATTAAGATTCAATCGATAAATTTTGATATTATTATATCAATTATTAATATTATTATTAAAGTATTGAAATTTAATGCATAGAATCAGTATTGTTGGCAAAGGTTGGGAAATTCAATTAAATTCCTTCCAAAAAATTTAACTTACAAATTTCTACCGCCAATTATATATCAGATTCCTAGCTTCCTTATACAACTTCATATTTATTTGATGATGACATAAGCCCAATAAATTAATTGGTTATCTTAAAGCATTAATCCTCTTAATATAAAAATATTTAGTTCTCTTTTTATTATACTTAATGTTGATTTCTTTTTTGTTCAAAAATTAGATTTCGTTACATCTTTCTAATTTTATTGCTATAAATTTCTCTACGATCATATACAATCTCTAAGACATCTATTTGATAATATTTTTATGATGCATTTTCTTATTATTAGGTTTAAAAATTGTAATTGATGTGTTATATATTATTAACCTCTTATCGTTTGCAATACTCTTCAATTTTTTATTGTCTAATTATTTCAAATTATTCAATAATCTCCTATTAATTTTTTTCCATTACCAGCCAGAATTGCTTTATTAAAAATAATATTAAATCTCAGTGTTATCAAGAATTTCTTATAAATAGTAATTATAAATAATATTTAATCATATGATTTTTTAATAACAAGTCAAAAACAACCAAAAATTCAATAATATCCTTTCGAATTGATCTAAGTAAATAATTCAAATAATTAAAAAAGCATTTCAACTAACTAAAATATCAAAATATCAAATCAATTATAAATTTTAGATCCTTCTCAAATAAATTTTATAAAAAACTTTTTCAATAAGTTTATTTGTATCCTCTTAAGGATCTTAAGCTGAATTACCTACTCAAACTTTTTTCAGCATTCCATTCTTAAAGATAATCAATTATTTAAATATGGTAAAAATACTTCTTTTCCTTTAAGGAAGGTATACAACTTAATTATGAATTAAATAACTTTGAAATCTAATACTAATTAATTTATATCCATTTAAAGGTTATTTATAAGAGAGTTGACCAATTAATTTTAATTATAAGTACCGGATAATCAATTAGATTGAATTCTGAAAATTATTTTGTATCTTTAATTAAACTATATTGTAATTAATCTTTAATATTTTCAGGAATGAATAATTAGCCTTCCTCCCTTTAAAATCAATATCTTTGAATTTAGTCTTTGCCAAATCCTTTTTAATATCAATATTATTTCAAGATCTTTCTTTAATACTCAAAACCGTTTAGGTCATAAGTTCTGATTACTTTATATGATGGAATTTAGAGAGCGATTTTCATCATAATAAATATTTGAGACCCTTAATCCGATAATTAAGATAAGATAATCTATTTTATAACAAAAACTTAAAGATTCCATAAATTAGGGAGATTAGAGATTCATTTCTTTTTAGATGTAAGAAATAGCTTGACAATTTTTTTTGAATTACTAAAAGTTCTTATTCACTAATTATTTTTATTAATAATTCATTATCTGAAAATTATTTGTTTCTCAAATTTAGAAATTTTTTGGAGCATATATGGTAATAGTAGAAGTCATTAATCTTATTTCAATATATAAGTCTTAATAAGGTGGAATAAAGAATTAATTTTTCTTCATTTATTTCCTCCTAAATTATTCATTCAATTTTCTAGAATCTAATATGATTCATTTTTGGATTATTTGATTCTTTAAATAAATATTAAACTGTTGAATAATCATCCTATTTAAATGATTTAGCTCAATTTTCAATTGTAAAGAATATTAATGCTATCATATTGAAATTTCGTGTAATTAAGTTCAACTAAGATATAGCTTATTGCTTGAGTTAATTATATTATAAAATTAAACTATTAGATATGAAAAGAGAGAAGAGAGTTATTTTCTTATCAAATTAAAAATTTTTTGATTTTCAGGGACAACCTTCTTGATATATAATATTGTATAAACTGAAATGAAAGGGTTTACAAAAACCAACCAAGCTAAATTAAATCTATGATTATAATTTAAATTACAAATGTCAAATAATGATAATTCAGAGAAATGAACAGAAATCATCGTAAAATATGCAATAGAATTGAATATGAGAGATAATTTTTTTCTTGCCGCATGCTTTTCCTTCAGAGTTATTCTTACATATGGATAGAATATAAGATTATAAGTGAACAAATATGCTTATCATTGAATTTATTTAACAAAATAATTCATCACTTAATGGACTAATCACATGAATCATAAAGTAGATGCTTGTACTAAAACAATGAATACTTAAGAGGGTATCACAAATAAAAAGATGATAATTCCAGCATTTTATAAGTCTTCAGATAAATAATTAAACTAAACATTTTAATCAAGGCTATTCTTGCTTAAAATAATAATGTGTTATAATTTTTTAAGATATAGTAAAAATTAAATGGTACATTTAAGGAGATATCTATCGATCCTTTCGGCTGAAATAACATTAAAGAATTCATGAATTCTATATTATAAATTATTTTATTTAATGATAAAGTTTATTTTGTAAATCTGGCTTTAAAATGTAATTTTTTGATAGTATAACAATGAATGAATTTTTTTGCATTTAATATGATTTATAGTTTTCTTTTAATTTATCAATTAATAAGGATATTAACAAAATTGTATTAAAATAACGTATTTTTCATAGGGCACTTATAATCAGACTGAACTAGGATCTCAAGCCAAACTTTCATTAAACTATATGATCATTTTATTGATATAATTGAGTTAATTTTAATTTCTTCGTATGGATAAATAAAATTCAAGGAATTAAAAAATGAGTACGTGTTTATGCTTTAGTTTATCCTTCGATTACTAAGGAGAAACCAAAGGATAATAATTTGATAATTCAATCTAAATAAATTAAAATATCGTTCACATTAATAAAATAGTTTTTAAAGTTAAATTGATAATAAAAATAATAATTATTTTATTTAAATTAAAAACTAATATGAATTTGTTCAATAAATACATAAAAAAAATAAATTGATATATATTTATGAGGCAATAAAAAGGGATATTTACTCTCTTTATCTGATAAATAAGATTTGCATTAATAATATATAGCAATACACATTCTGATGTTTTTAATGATTTCATATTTAATCTACAAAAGGTCATACTTTTATCCATTTTATTCTTGTCTTTGTTATTTTTATGTAAACCTAATTATAAATTCAAAATGCATTTAGAAGAAAAAGATAATATCATATAGAATTTTTAAATAAATGAAATAAAAATCATGGCACAAGCATTTATTATTTAAATGATGATATATCTTATAGAAATTATGCAAATCTTAACTCAGTAGAAAAAAACTTCAGCTTTATATACCAAATTAATTGAATATTTAATTGGAAGCGATTAATATTTATTAATTGAAATATTGAAAATAAATTATAAAAGTTAATATTTATTATAATGTTTAAATAAATTTTTAATAGGAATATTTGATTTAATAGAATGATATAGAATAAATAATAGAAATTACAATCTAATAAATTATTTTTTTTATAATCATTCTATTTTTGATTAATCTAATGATATTGACTAAAATTATTTTAATTATTGATATTTTAATTATTATCTTCTTAATATAAAAATAAGGCAAACTATTAATATGAATATTAAACTTATAGATATAATTATTATTATATTTCTTTAATTTAAAAAATTATTAATTTCTTCTTATTAAATGATTACCTTTACTTCAGCTTTTGATATCCAATTTTCAGCTATCAATAAACACTTAGCAAATTCCAATTTATTAGTAATATTGATTTCAAATCCAATTTCTATTAAAGAGGCTTCTTCATTTTACATATTAAATAAAATATAATGTGTATTATTATAAACTTATAAATGCAATTTACTAAAATCTATTATATTAATTGAATCATAAATTTAATTCTCTTATCTAAAATCATAAAGATAAAATTTTTGTTCTAAAGTACCAAATATGGCTAATTACTTATCAATAAAAATTATATTATCTAAATATTCCCTGTTTCTTAAAATTTTTATAATATTTGATTCTACATTTTTATTCTAAGTATTTAAACTAAAGTTTATATAAAATGTTAGATCCTAGTAATGTAAAATACTAAATATTTGTATTTACTTTTCTACTTTTATTGCTTCAATTAGAATTAATAGTGTTGAATCTATCAGTTATGAATTTAGAAAAAAGTCAATCTAAATTTCCACTAATTATAAAAGTTTAATTTTTTCTAAATTATAAGTTTGTATAGGATTTACTCTGTCATCTGAGAAATTATAATGAGTAATTAGAATATTTTTTTCTTAATTAATTACAAGATATTCATTATCAGAATTCTATAAATAGACTATTTCATTCTAAATTATAGTTTCATAAATTTTATTAATATATTCCTCCTTCAATTAAAATAAATAAAATTAATAACCTATTTAAAACTATATTAAATTGCCAATAATTCTTATTTAATTAGTTTCCTCATTATGAAATGGAAGATCAAATTCTTTAAATTAAACAAATCTATCTTAAATTTCATCAAATTTATAAGTGATTGCTTATCTACTTACCCCATTTTCAACATTGATATATATAATATCTCCATTTTTTAATTGGAACCAATATTGCTAATCAAATGATAGAACAATTAATTTTGGTTTATTTATTAAATCATGATTCTCCATAGTTTTAAGAAAGAAACATTAACATTTTTCAAATTATTATTATAATAGACAATTTTAAGTGGCATTTTTATTGCATAAATTAATGCCCTTTCTAATTTTAAATGGACCAAATAGATTAAAAGGGCATTCATCATTTAAAGAAATTATTTCGATTGGTCCTGAAAAATGATTAAACACTTCAATTTTATTTATTAGGTTTTAACTTGGATGGATAATTAGATTTGATTTAGGAAATATTTACTTATTTGTATTTATAATCTTCAATTTAAGATTAAATTTATTTTATTGCTATATATCAATTAGAGAAAATAGATTTAAATGAAGATCAACTATTTAGAAAAGCTTACTGAAATCTTCAATTTTATAAGTAAGAGATATTTATTAATAATCCTAATATACAAGCAGATTGTTTTCATCATAATAATATACCTTTTTACTGTTTGCATAAAAGTTTGGTTAAGCTACTTTAATAATTAGTTTTATGATATATTAGTTACTTTAAGTAAAATAATATATTAGAAGATATAATTAATTAGATTTTTCTGCTATAATAAAAAAGTCATAGTTTGAGATAGCATATGTTAATGGTTTATAAATAGAATAATCATACAGATTAATATTTTAGACAAATAGTAACTCGTTCATATTAAAAAAACAGACTTTTAATTAGTATTCCACTTTATGTAATACGATAAAAAAAAAAGCTTAATTCATTGCAAGTATTTACCACTCTAGAAACTTCATTTTTAAGATATCCTTATTTTTAATAATCCAAAGATAGTCCTAAACTTAATAGATCTGGTAAGAATTTTAAATATTAAAATAAAATTATATGGTTTCCATAATTTTTATTTCAGCATTTTATACTATTAGATCACCTGAAAAAAAATCAATTATTAGTGGTTCTTTATTTTTGAAACTTATAACCATAGAATTTTAGATTTACAAAACCTTTGTAACATCTGAATCAATTTTAAAATTAGATTATATTAATTAATTTTCGGTGACAGTAATAATATTTAATAGATTATATATTTTGTCTAAAACAATAACTTTATTTTTTATATGAAATACAGATTTACCTTACTTTTTAAATTGATGAAGCATTTTTTATTATTTGCAATTATAGAAATAAATGAATTTTTCATCTGAAAATACAAATAGTTTAGCATCAGAATCATAAAGCCTAAGAGTTGAATTCTAAAAGACTCTATATAATTAACAAATATCAATGAAATTGTATTTGATTTAATCAATACTTAAAATATTTGAGAATTACGAAGGTATTTCAAATTATAATGGTATTCCTACCATGAATTCTTTATAATTAATAAACAGTTTAATTTCTTAGAAATTTTGAATATAGTATAATCCCTACATAAAAAATTAATAATCAACAAATCGATTAGTTGAATTTATTAGTATTATTTTACTACATTTAATAGTTTCTACTTTACAACAACTAAAATCATTCAAAGATAATTCATAAATATATTCATATTATGGTACTATGTAATTTGATAAATGCTTAATTTTAAATAGCTTAATTAAATTGAGACTTTCATCTATTACAAATAGATAATTAAAAGTTCTATGAAATAAAAGTAAACCTGAAATATCATAATATTAAATGAAAATCTAATTTACGAATAACTATAGATTTTTTTCATATTAAAATATTTTAAAGTATTCATGCTAATATAAAAAAAGAGGATATCTCGATTTACTAAATGATAGAATTTAGTATTATTAATAATATTAGAAAGGTATCAATGATTCTTCCTCCCCTACAAACATACTTATACTGCATTATTTATCAAATACCAATTGAGTAATTTTTACTTTGTTTTACTAATTTAGTTTGATGATCTCTAAAATCTAAAAATTTTCCATCTAAATGTACCCTTTGTCGAATAATAAATAAACGAAATACTGTTAAGAGTGCGATATTTGACATACTTGAATATTGACTAAATTAATTAGATCAAATGAAAATTACATTCTTCTTAAAATATCTTTATCTAAAATAAGAGTGATGTTGTTATCCTACGCCTTAAAAATATTCCAATCTGAGCAATTAATAGAACCTATTAAATAAAGGTAAGGTCTAATTTAAATTGAGATTGGTTTGCAATACTTAAGATTATTGGTTTAAGTATAATTATACTATATATATAATGAATTTTTATCATCTAAATTTGTAGAAATTAATTTAAAATAATCTTCTGAATAGCAAAATATAGTAAAATTAGTGTCTGCATCATAAAATATTGATTCACATTTATCATAATGTTAAGTTATAATTAATGTTTTATTTGAGTACTCAAAATTGATTTTCTCTTAAACAAAAGTAAATCCAATCATACATTATATAAAATAAGTGTTTTCATTAATCATAAGGTAGCATATTTGTTATATATCCCAATTCTAAAATGATTTTAATAAAGTAGCAGAAATAAAAATTCCATCAATTTAATAATACAAAGAATATTCTAATTAAAGAATTTCTTATCCTATACTTTGAATATTTTCAAAATCAGCTTAATTAGTATTAATGAGTAGTGGCTCTTTGTAAGCTGACTTGAAAAATTCATCTTTATCCTTATATATATCTAAACAGGGTATAGCTTCTAGAAATGTTAGAATGGTTGAGAAAAGCAGTATTTTTACAAACATTATTTTTATATATATTTTGAAAATATAATTCAATATTAATTATTTAATTTCAATTATTCTTGATAATATTATTATTATAAATCTACTAATATCTCTTTAGAACCTTTCTAATAAATAGGGAGGTTAAAAAGTCGATCAGTAAAATTGGAAAAATTTGTAATTTAATTTAAATATGATATTTCTAGAATACAAAATTGAAAACTTTTTGTATGGATTAGACTTTCTGCATAAAAAAAGGATAATATATCATTAAGATAACAGATATTAATAATGAAAACCATTTTTAAAAAAGATTATTTGTCTACAAAATAATTTCTTGGATTTAGTGTTGACTAGTTAATTATATAAATGTTAATGTTTATTTATTTTTAATTGAGTTTAATTCAAAAAATAAGAATAAGAAAAAAACAATGAAAATGTCTAAAATAGTTATTTATATAATTTTAAGTTTGAATTATCCACTCCATTTTCAGTAACAAATTCGAAGTAAGCCAATATAGTTATCATAAAATATATCTTATCACCTGAAATAGTATATTAATTTTTTTATGAGTGTATTATATTATTTATTAATAAAATAGGATTCTTTTAAAGTAATTCATATATTTGATTATCTTGTATTTATAAGCAAATATCAGCATCATATAAATCTGTAAAGAATGATGGATTCAATGGAAAGTAAAATTTTAAAAGAATGTATAATAAGTTTTAAGAGAATCAAGCATCCAATGAATCAATTTCAAAAGATATTTGTAGAGATTAATAAAATTTGAATATGATAAAGTATACGATGAATAAACTAATTTTATGATTGATAACCAGGCATTTAATGATACAAGATCCTATTTCTCATTGTAATTTAAACAATTATCTAAATCTCATGCTTTACAATAACCAACATAAATCTTTAATTAAAAAAATTCAAGGTAAGGTTAAATATAGGATTGTATTTCTTTGATTGCCATAAGAATATTTTAGCATTATATTACATCATATTAACAAAGCATCTATCTTTGCATTTAAGATTTTGAGAGACGCTTAATCTTTTGGAAGTATTCTAAAAGGAACGAATAAAACAATTTTCACTAAATTAAGAGCATGTTTACTATATAAATTTTTATTTTTTGAACATGTGAAACATTAATTTAGGCACTTTATTAATTTAATTACAATTTTACATTTATAATTTAATAAACGCTTTAATAATATCCATTTTAGTAAATTAATTAAAATTCTATAATCTAAATTTTGTGTTAATTATATGAAGTTAATTTTATTGAGTTCAACTTATGAGTTTTAAAATATGGATTGCGTTACTAACTAATCTCAACCTAAATATCATTAAAACTATTTAAACAATTACTTTAAAATCGATATGAAAATTGATATTTACATATCTTACATGTAAAATCACATATTAATAGATGACAAGGATGAATAATTTGTGTAATTAAAACTTTAAAATTATCACTTTAATAATACAATTAAATTAAATGATGATTCATTTTCTCTATAGACATTTAGGGACAATCTGAATAAACCAATCAGAATCTTTTTTTAGAGTTATGCTGCTTAAACAGATAATTCATACATTGAATTCTACATTCAAAATCTAATCATACTGTATCAAATTCTAAATAAAACTTATGGAACTTAATAATACTGAATAAATACAATATTTCATATGATTAAAATGCATTTCCAATACGAATTAGAATTTAACATATCTTCAATTTATAATAAGTTGAGCTTATAGGATTCTCAAAATTCATTTCACTACATTATTACCATTATTATATTTCAAATTTTTTTGATAATAATTTTATTATTAAAAGGAAAACCCATTTATCCTAAATAATTATGAAAAAAATTAATGATGAATATTTTTATTCTGTAGATAATAGGATTTTCTATCTGATTTAAAACATCCATTTGACTATTTTCTATAAAGGAACTAGTCATAACACAGGCAGAAATTTGATACCAGAAAAGCAAAATAATAATCTTGTTTTCTAGAACATCAAAGTAGTTAGATGGAAATCGAAAAATTCATATTGTCAAGTAAATGTCAATACAGACTTTGGTCAATTGATTTCATGTATTCAAAATTAACTACTAAAATTGAAGTCATTATGATTTATTAATTTATTCAAAAGCATATAATTAAAAAAAAGAAAAGAAATTTTAGTAATCATTTATACATACAAACTCCTGGGAAATCTTGGGAGAATTTATATTAATAATGACAGTTATAATAGATAGCATAGATTTAATCATTTTTGAGTAACTAAGTTAGTATTTAAAGATGATATAATTCATAAATTAATTTTGTTAATTTTCTGCTTTATAATTATCCTCATATCTCTTTGAATCATTTTAAATTAAGAATTACAATGCATTCTTTTGGTGGATATATTTTTGATATTCTATTAAGCCAAATTCAATCTCTATTCTAATTACAATAAAACTTTCTTGATAATTGAACCAAGTGTTTTGCCTCTAAAACTATATGAGTGTTTATTCTTTAAATAATATTAGGAAAAAATTAAATACCATTTAAATAAAATGATAAGTTTTCAAAAAATCCTTCAAGAAATTTTAACTAATATTTAAAATCAAAAGTGATACAGTAATAATGATATATATTTCAGCGAAATCTATATAGAAACATAAATTTTACAATTTTAAGACTATTATCAATAGTGAGTGATCTATGTAATTGAATCTCTTTCATAGTTCTTTCTTTATTAAATCATTATTCTCAATATTCTAATTGAAGATAATTAGTAAAAATTAAAAATATCATTTTATGATTTTAATTGCCACTAGTTACCTATCTTAAAAAATTATTAACACATATAAACAGTACTAAAATTATCAAACTTGTATTCTTATTTAAAAAGTATTCTTTTATATATGATAATTTTAATCATCCAAAATGGTTTCAAGATTAATTAATTTTTGATAAGATCATTTATATAGATCAAATTTATTTTCCCTTAGTGAATTTATTTATTTTCATTAATCTTAAAAAAAAAGGCAAACCACAAAATATTTCAGCTGTTGAATTTCTAACATTTAAAATAGTGTTTTAATAAATGTTAGTTAATGAAAAAGATAATCCTGCTTAAGTTAATTACTTTAAAGATTCAGCTAATAAATCTTTGTTTGATTTGTATACCTCTTATGAATAATGAATAGAAATGTTTTGAATCAATAGACAAAGCTTTATCTGCCCATATAATTG